ATAAAATATTCATAGCTGCTCAATGATTTTACTAAAAGGTTATTTAGACTTAAACAGATCAAAAAATAATGTGAATAGTAGATCAAATACAAATGAAAATGTTTTTAAAAGTTCAAATACAGATCAATAAGGTCAAATGCAGATCATTTAGCTTAAAATCAGTTTAAATTTTTCGACCCGGGTCGGCTGCTTCGCTTTTAAAATCTATAAATTATTTTTTGATTTATTAAAAATTTTTCATACTTTCTTCCTTCCAATTATTTATAATCGGTAATTGTTGATGTTTCGTTAAAATGTAAATGATAAAAAAAAACATTTTTAAATAAATATTATTTACTGCAGTTGAGGAAATAAAAAAAAATTATTTTATAGGTTATGTTATAGGTATCAAACAGTTGATGAAAATAAATAAATTTATTTAACATTTATTTTGTGTTAAGATTGACACTTTAGAAGTGTATGATTCTTTGCGCCCTCTTGTGGCGATATTTCAACATAATCTTTGTGTTAAAAAGGGGTTACACAAAATTTGTGTTTAAATTTCAACACATATTTTGTGTCAACCGTTTTTAAACACAAACTGTGTTGATTTTACACAATATTTTTTACTGTGTATCTACAAAGTAGTTCAAAAAATGATATAAAATAACATAGACATTTTTGTAACAAATCCTGAATTGTCACTTTTTGAAATAAATAAAAGTTTTAGTTTACATCCATAAAAAAAAATAAAAAGTTTTCTTTCTATAATTTCTAATAATACTCGACATTACGATAAAAAAAAAAAAAAAACGCTTCTCTATTTAAAAATTCATGACTGATGAACTTGTAAAGATCAAGTGCTAAAAATTTAAAGGTAAGCTTTTTTTCAAATTTAAGGATTTGGTAGAAAGTGACCCATGTATATACTATTTATATAAATTTTTATTTATATATCTCCTCTTCTTTCAACTAAAGAAAAATCAAACTTTGATAGAAAAATATCTTTAATAGTTGATTTTTCTGATAAAAATTATACTTTATTACTGCGACGAATTCATGCCTAAGTTATTTTTTAAATTATTATTCTTTTATTAGAAACAACTTAAGGAGAGTATATATATAAATATATTAGGGGAGGGGGGGGGCAAAATGGGGTACTTAAGCAATCGTTATGATTTTAAGGACTTAAATACGCTGATTTTTTTCGTTTTCAGTCGTAATTAAAGGAAAATAATTAAATTTCAAGTTGCCGCAGAAAAAAAAAATTTTTTTTTTGCGAGCAAAATGGGGTACTCCCTGAAAGAGTGAAAAAAAAATTTCTTCATCCGAAAATAAAATATCGTTAAAAAAT